TGAGTTTCTACTCCTTTGTTCTGCATTGTTTTAACTTCAAACAAAGCAACTGTAAGTGTGATTTGCTACCGAACTTTGTGTTCGCTGAAACACTGGGGTTTGAAGTACCGCTACACCAGTGTGTGATTCGTTCTATCCTGGGAGGAAATAATCCATAACCTTGGGTACTAGGAGGGGATTAAATTCCTTAAGGAAACACTGTGAATTCAGTGGGCTCGAATTAATTACTGTTTCATTACGTTAACTTATATTTTGCAGAATTATTATTTACAAATACAGCAATATTGGCGGGACTAACAATTTAGACCTACAAAGAGCTTAATTAAAGCAATAACAAAAGTTTAACATGGCGATCAAATCCTGGAGTAAAAGTGTTTTACCAATTTACAGTTATTCCTGTATATAGATATAGATTTGTACAGAATCAATTTTTCTGTTATTCCCGTATAACCAAAATTAAAACTTTTCAAACCGTGTCAATCATCTCGGTTTCTTTATGGTATCGTACAGTTCGGTTATTTTTTTATTTTATTTTTAAAAAAATTCATGCAAGAGTAGCTAATGAAAACTAGAATGTGATAAATGCATATCTGCATAGAATTCTAGATATTTTTACTCTTTTAAAACACGTAAATGCGTTCGAGGTTTATTTGGATTCTCAATATAATTGGGATGAGGAGGCCCAAAGGCGAGAACTTAAGTTTAAGGGTAGGTTTGTGATCATTTTGGCACTTTAAGTTTGTTAAGAGTGTACAATTTTTGGTTTTTATCAAATAGTTAACAAATTCTAATGGTTAAATTTAAGTAATTTAATGGAAACTGTAATAAAAAATTAACAAAAAACACCATGAAAACACCATGGAAAAACCAAAATATACGCGGAAAAGAAGGAACTCAGATTTAACTCCATTTGGTGCTTGAAAAAATAATTTACATATAAAAACAGTCTAATCTTTTAGGAAGCGTGAACCCGCTCGAACCAATGCGGTCCGCCCCTAACCATGTGCCTACAGCTCAAAAATTGCACCAAATATAAAAGACACACCCAAAGTAGCAAAAACTATAACAACAACTCAATATAATCTCACTAATGGGGTCTAGTTTGTATGCAGATCTTACCTCTACCCTGGATAGAGAGGCCGTTTCCGATAGAACCTCGGCTCACTCCCTCCAAAAACTACTCACACTCGAACTTACAAGAAAATTTAAGTTAGAAGTGGAGGTGTTCACATCTCGATTAAAACTGTTCAATGTTAAAACTTAGGTTAGGGGACTATTTCTCAACTTGCATGTTTTCCCATTTTCTTAAAAGAAAATTTAGTAGTAGTAAAAGTTTTATGCAATTAAGAACTAAATCCGAAGGCAATACCAATACTATCCAACAGTTCAGCTCCTATATACATCGGCTCGCCCATTTCCTATACTTCAAAACTCTATTTTCTTAGCCAAAAACATCCATGGCAGAAGACAAAATCAAAACCAATGAACCCCAAAAAGGAATTGAAGGTTCCATTTTACAGTGGGCCCCACAAGCATGGGCCCACTTAGAATTAGTCCGTTCAAAATCACCATTAATCCAATGCATAACAAACTTCGTTTCAATGGATTTCATGGCCAACACTTTATTATCCGCCGGCGCATCGCCGGCAATGATTCATTCAGTTGATGAAATTCCGGAATTTACACCAAAAGCCCTCGGAGTTTGCATAAATATGGGAACACTCACACCTGACTGGTTACCGGGTATGAAGTTGGCTGCAGAAGTGGCTAACCAGTGTAAGAAGCCTTGGGTCCTTGATCCTGTAGCTGCTGGTGGAACAAGTTTCCGGTTAAAGGCGTGTTTGGAGATGATGGATTTAAGGCCTAGTGTTGTTAGAGGGAATGGGTCTGAGATTCTTGCTCTTTTTAAGGGTTCTGTTGACTCTAATTCCAAGGTAGATAATCTGTGCATAATATGTGACTTTTTATCTTTTTATTTTGATCCAAAATAAATTTTATTTTTACATAATCAAAAATTAATTAACTATAGTTTTTCAAATTTGTCCCTATTTACATATCTCAATGAGTCAAGTTAACAATATGCAAAATTTAATTAAGGGTAATCTAGTTAAAATACTTATTTGTTTTCTAGGAGTTTGTATTTTATTAAGGGGTGTGCCAAAGACAAAAAAGTCACTTATTGTATACCGGAGTCAGTATATACTTCATCTGTTCCAATTTATGTGGTACCGTTTTTGACTTGGCGCAAAATTTAAGAAAATAAATGAACACTTTTAAAATTTATGGTCTAAATAAAATGAAAATTTGAAAGTTGAAGTGTTTCTAAAGGTGACATTCTTTTTGAGACAAACTAAAAAGTAAAGAATGTCACATAAGTGAGGACGGAGGAAATATACAATGTTTTGTATCAGCTATTTTTGCATACTATATACTATATATTCCAATTTATATGATACAGTTTGACCTAACACAAAGTTTAAGAAAAAAATAGTTTTGAAACATTTGTGATTATAAAAACTTTTTATTAATGGTAAAAAGTGAAAAGTTTAAAGTTAAAAAATTTTCAAATATATAAATGTGTCATTCTTTTTGGAATAAAAAATAGTGTCACATGAACTGGAACGAAGGGAGTATGGAATACCAATATTATCATTACTGGTATGCTTACATTATGTCCCATGGTTACTAGGAGTTCTTTTTAGTTTAGTCTGTTAAGAGATTTGTATGTTAATTGCTAGTTGAAAAATTAGAGCGCCTCTATAGTGTTAAAGAATACTAAATTATTGAATATTGGAATGAAACGGGTACAAATGGATAATAAGGATTCATATAACTGACTACTCATGGTTTGGGATTGAGACGTAATTATTTTTGTTGTTGAATAACTACCTTCTCAGTTTTCTATTTCATGACAATCAAGCCAAAATGGGTCCTTCATCTGGTTTCCATTTCTATTCTCTTTCTTGGAAAATGGTGTAAGTTTTACCAAAGGCTGCATTTCTATGCAAGATTTGGTGATATCAGTCTATCCTAGATTTTGGTCTCTCCTTTTGAATGACCTACTATTAGCTTGTCTTTAATACTACTGATGTAAGAATGGGAGAAAGACAAGAATCTACTTCCATTTGTGCAAAGTTAACTCCTCTTCATATTTCTTATTTCTTGTGCTTAGTCAGAAAATATGTGAATCGGGGCTATTCCACCTATTGATTGTATAGGCGGAGTGGTAGCTGAGAAAATTCCTAAAATCGGTTGAAATTGACGAGAGTTCAATATATGGGTTGGGAAAATAATAACTGGTCTGATTAAAATGTGTTAGTCGTTAGATTGTTTCACGATCTTAGTGATCATGTACTAATTTGACTAGTTATGGACAGGGTAAATGGACAGAAAATGATATCGTTAAATGAAGAGCAAGTAATCCGATGAAATGTTCATGTTGTTTGATTTGTCTACTTTAGGACAAATTTAGCTACTAATGGTCATAGCATTCAAGTTAAACTTTAGAGAAATTGAAAGGGATATTACTATTTTCTGATAAGCAAAGAATTGTTTGTGAGAAAACATCGTTACTGTATTACTATTTTCTTTTGCATTCGTACTGTGTTTCTGATTAAGCCACTAAATTCTATTGTTGTGCATATAATGTCTCATCTCTTTCTTTTTACTGATTTAAGGGTGTGGATAGTGTATACGGTTCAGGAGATGCTGTTGAAGCAGCAAAATCCCTTGCTCAACAAAGTGGTAGTGTAGTTGCAGTTTCTGGAGCTGTTGACTTTATCACAGACGGTGACAGGGTCGTCTGTGTGCATAATGGGGTGCCTATGTTGCAAAAGATTACTGCATCTGGTTGTTCTGTCACTGCCCTCATTGCTGCCTTTGTCGCGGTTGATCCATCAAATGCTGTTGAAGCGACAGCTTCTGCATTGGCTATCTTTGGTGTCGCTAGTGAGATAGGGATGGACATGGCTAGAGGTCCAGCTTCACTGCGGACATCATTGATCGATTCATTATATGGACTTGACAAAGCTACTGCACTTGGCCGAGTAAGAATCAGCTGCTTATAATGCTTAGAGGAGCATTGAATGTGTGCATTGCCCGTTAGAGCAAATGTGGACTTCGATAGCATCAAGTATATGTCTAATAATCAACTCAATGTTATTTTACTTGGTAGGTCTTTTACATTCTTTAACCCTTAATAAAAGCATGGGTTTAGAAAAAGCAGACTGAAGAATTTCTTTCTATTCATGTTGAAACCGGTTTTAGAATATTGTGGCTTGTAGCTTGGAATCTTGCTTCTCTCACTTGTTTGTTGATGAATTCATAAAAGAGAAAATGAGACATTCGTCGAGGGAGAATTATAGGGTCTAAGGAGATTTTCAGTAGCTCAATTTTCTTAAAGATTCACAGAGAAACTTCAGTAAATAAGATGAGCAGTGATCCTAAGCAGTGTCTCTGCACCATTTGTGACATGCTGACCAGCTGGTATGAGTGAACAAGCTCTGCAATGCCACAAGCATTCTTAAACTTGCCAGTGCCTCCGGTAACTGAAAACTAGGATATGGTGCTTCCTATCCTGTATACACCAAAGAAGTTAAGGGTGTCGCCGTATTCCCCTCCTTCCTAAGCTGGACTTGTGTTTTGCCAAGGATTTGTGTGGCCAGCTCAGGGGAAGAGGTCAAGATATCATCAATAACAGTGATTGTTCCAAAGCCAAGTCTTAAGCCATCAGGATTCAGGGCTTAGTTGGATAGTCAGGCAGAGCCAGGAATTTCAGTAAGGGAATTCAAAACATAAAGAAGTAAACATACAAAGAAGTTATTGGGATTCAACATCTACTATATATACATAAAAATTAATTTTGACTTGATATATATTGTGTAATTTTTCTATGAAGGGGTTTCTGGCTCCGCCCATGGTCACAGTTTGGCCATTCTTGTTTCCTCCGGCAAATGATGTGGCTGTGAATCCTGTTCCTAGTGGAACAACGTTGATGTTGACTGTTGGAATGGCTACGCCATCCTTTGGAGTCCGAAACCAAGAGGTCTTGCAAAGGGTGCTTGGCCGCTGTAGATGCTGCTTCACAAGCCGATGATTGGCCTGGCTGTCGGGTTGTTGCCGCTGAGAGTATCATGCGTGTATAATTCCAGGATTGTTTCAACAGGTCTATGGATCAACTGCTGCTATAAAGGCTGCAAAGTTGATGGCTGCAAATGGAACTGCAATAAGGGAGGGTGATGATTGCCTTGACATTGATATTCTTTCTTCTTGTTGATGTGTGTTATTGAGTCTAAGTTGTTTCTTTGATTGACAATGCCATGCACTTTTTAAAGAGAAGTGATCAGAAATGTAGAAAAATGGAGTTGTGAGATTAAGAGCCCGTTTGGACATAAGAAATTTTTCCCTTTTTTTTCAAAAAAATCACTTTTTTTCGAAATCAACGTTCATAAAATTTTCAATTTTCACTTGAAAATGCATTTTGGAAATTTTCGAAAATTTGAAAAACTCTAAAAGCTGTTTTCTAAATTTTTTCACTCAAATCACTCACAAAACTTCAAAAACAATCCAAAATTATATTCATGTTCAAACACAATTCTAAATTTCAAATACCATTTTCACTTTAAAATTATTTTGTCCCTATTTTGGAATTTTACAATTCATATATGTCCAAATGCCCACTAAAATGTGGTAAAGTTGTTGGAATTTCCTTTGAGAGTGTTGGGTACAACAGAACCTTGCTAAATTGTGTATGCTCCTTTCTTTATATACAGAAAGATTTTGTATCATGTTATAAAATAAAAACTGTAAAGTAAATAAACCGAAGACAAGTATAGAGAGAGATTGATATATTATTTAAATTTCAAACTTATGTACATAATGAACTGAAAACTCCTTTGTTTATAGAAGAAAGGACGCAGCTGCGAGGCTTTTTTTTTTGTTGCTTGTAAGCTGTCTGCATGAGCTGCTTGCAACCTGCCTGTTTAATAAGAAGCTGCTGCAAATCATTTCATTGAGCTGCTTGCAACCTGCCTACATCAGTTGCTTGTAGATAAACTTCAACAGAGTACTAAATGGATAATCTTCTTCAGGAAGATTGTCTATAACGGAGTAATAAATGGACATTCACAATATAATTATTTTCATAACACTCCCCCTTGGATGTTTATTAAAAGGTATTGTGCTTCGTTAAAACCTTACTAGGAAAAACTCAGTGGAAAAAATCCTAGTGAAGGAAAAAGAGTACACATATTTAGTAATACGCATTTCTAGCTGCCTCATTAGAAACCTTATAAGGAAAACCACGTGGGAAAAAATCTTAGTAAGGAAAAAAGAGTACATCACATATTTTACTCCCCCTGATGAAAACCTTGTTTCAAATATTTGAGTCTCCGCATTCCAATCTTATATACCATCTTCTCAAAAGTTGAAGTTGGCAAAGATTTAGTGAATAAATTTGCCGGATTGTCACTTAAACGGATTTGTTGCACATCAATATGACCATTTTTTTGAAGATCATGTGTGTAGAATAATTTTAGTAAAATGTGCTTCGTTCTATCTCCTTTTATAAATCATCCCTTCAATTGGGCTATGCATGCAACATTGTCTTCGTATAAAATTGTGGGTCTTTTCTCACATTCCAAATCATATTTTTTCTCAATAAAATGAATTATTGATCTCAACCATACACATTCCCTACTTGCTTCATGAATAGCTATTATTTCAACATGATTTGAAGAAGTAGCAACAATAGATTGCTTTGTGGAGAGCCATGATATGATAGTACCTCCACATGTAAACACGTACCCGGGTTGAGATCTAGCTTTATGAGGATCAGATAAATAACCTGCATCTGCATAACCAACAAGATCTGCACTATCTTTGTTAGCATAAAACAAACCCATATCAAGAGTTCTCTTTAAATATTTCAATATATGCTTAATCCCGTTCCAATGTCTCCGTGTAGGAGAAGAACTATATCTTGCTAGTAAATTAACAGAAAATGTTATGTCAGGCCTTATAACACTAGCAAGATACATTAGTGCACCAATTGCACTGAGATAGGGTACTTCGGGACCAAGGAGTTCCTCATCCTCTTCTGGAGGTCGGAACAAATCTTTATTTACTTCAAGTGATCGAACAACCATTGGTGTACTCAATGGGTGCGCTTTGTCCATGTAAAAGCGTTTTAAGACCCTTTCTGTATAGGCAGATTAATGGATAAAGATCCCGTCTGCTAAATTTTCGATTTGCAGACCAAGACAAAGTTTTGTCTTTCCAAGATCTTTCATCTCAAATTCTTTCTTAAGATATTCAATTGCCTTTTGAAGCTTTTCTGGAGTTCCAACAATATTTATGTCATCAACATAAACAGCAAGTATAACAAATTCTGAAGCTATTTTCTTTATAAAAATACATGGACAAATAACATCATTTATGTAACCCTCTTTCAGCAAATATTCACTGAGGCGATTATACCACATGCGCCCAGATTGCTTTAAACCGTACAAAGATCTTTGTAATCTGATTGGGTACATTTTCTGAGATTTTGAATATGCTTCAGCCATTTTAAATCTTTCGGGGAATTTCATATAAATTTCATTATCAAGTGACCTGTATAGATAAGTTGTAACCACATCCATTAGATGTATTTCAAACCTTTCACGTAAGGCTAAACTGATGAGATATCGAAATGTTATGGTATCCATAACGGGTGAATATGTTTCTTCATAATCGACTCCGGTCGTTGTGAGAATCCTTGTGCAACAAGGCGAGCCTTGTATCTTTCAACTTCATTTTTATCATTCCTTTTTTGCACAAAAACTCATTTATGACCAACTGGCTTTATACCAGCAGGTGTTTAGACTACTGGTCCAAAGACCTCTCTTTTAGCAAGTGACTTCAATTCCGATTGAATTGACTCTTGCAATTTTGGCCAATCAGATATTTGTTGACATTCTTCGACAGATCGGGGTTCAAGATTCTCACTATCTTGCATAATATTAAATGCAACATTATATGCAAAAATATTATCCACCACTATTTCAGATTAATTTAAATTAATCCCATCACCAGTAGAACTTATTAAAAGTTCCTCACTCACTTGAGTCTCGGGTTCATTGATTTCTTCAGGAATCTCAGAACTAATCAGATCTTGGGTCTCTTCAGGAGATCCCTTCATAATATCATTTTGATCATTTGTCGATTTTCTTTTTCTAGGATTTCGATCCTTAGAACCTAAAGGCCTACCACGCTTCAAGCGTACTTTTGGTTCACTAGCTCTCATACTAGTAGATGGTCCTGCTGGAACATCAATTCGGATAGACACATTCTCTGCAGGGATATGTGACTTAGTTTTCCTTTTCAAATCAGTAAATGTGTCTGGCATTTGATTTGCTATATTCTGTAAATAGATGATCTTCTGGACCTCCTGATTACATATAGGGGTACGTGGATCAAAGTGAGATAATGATGAAACTTTTCACATAATTTCTCTTTTGATTTTTTTTTTCTCTTGATTTGCTATATTCTGTAAATGGATGATCTTATGGACCTCCTGATTACATATAGGGGTACATGGATCAAAGTGAAATAATGATGAAACTTTCCACACAATTTCTTTTTTGATTTCCTTTTTCTCTCCCCCTAATTGTGGGAAATTTGTTTCATCAAATCGACAATCTGCAAATCGAGCAGTAAATAAATCTCCCGTCAATTGTTCAAGATAGCGAATAATAGAGGGTGATTCAAACTCAACGTATATTCCTAACCTTCTTTGCGGGCCCATCTTACTGTACTGTGGTGGTGCTACTGGCACATATACAACACATCTAAAAATTCGTAGATGGGCAATATTTGGTTCATGACCAAAAACTAATTGTGACGGAGAATATTTATTATAATGTGTCGGTCTGAGAAAGATAAGTGATGTTGCGTGCAAGATAGCATGGCCCCAAATAATAGTGGACAATTTTGTTTTCATAAGTAGTGGTCTTGTTATCAACTGCATGTGTTTAATAAATGACTCTGCAAGGCCATTTTGAGTATGAACATAAGTTACAGGATGTTCAACTTTTATCCCAACTGATACACAGTAATCATCAAAAGCTTGAGATGAGAATTCTCCAGCATTATCAAGGCGAATAGCCTTTATAGGATAATCTGAGAATTGTGCCCTTAATCGAATTATTTGGGCTAATAACTTTGCAAACGCCAGGTTGTGAGATGATAGTAGGCATACCTGAGACCATCTTGAATATGCGTTTATTAGGACCATAAAATACCTGAACAACCCACTTGATAGGTAAATAGATCCACATATATCCCCATGTATACGCTCTAAAAAGGCAGGGGACTCAATATCAATCTTCATTGGTGATGGTCTAGTGATCATTTGCCTTGATAACAAGCATTACAAGAAAATTCATCATCTGTAAGAATCTTCAGGTTCTTTAATGGATGCCCACTCGAATTTTCAGTAATTTGTCTCATCATTATTGATCCAGGATGGCCCAGACGGCCATGTCAAAGCACAAAAGTATTTGAATCAGTAAACTGCCTATTTACCATAGAGTGTGCTTCAACTGTACTAATCTTTGAATAGTATAAGCCAGAAGATAAAGTTAGTAACTTTTCTACAATGCACTTCTGGCCAGAAATATTCTTTATAATACAAAGATATTCCATATTCATTTCATCTATCGTGTCAACATGATACCCATTTCGGTGGATATCCATAAAACTCAACAAGTTTCTTCGGGACTTGGAGGAGAATAATGCATTGTCTATAATAAGTTTTGTTCCCTTAGACAGAAATACAATAGCTCTTCTGGAGCCTTCAATCAAACTTATATTACTAGAAATTGTAGAAACATCTGCTTTTTCCTTATGCAAATAAGAAAAGTATTTCTGATCTTTGAATATGGCATGAGTTGTTCCACTATCAATTACACAAATATCTTCGTGATTGGTCTTTGATCCAAACATAATTTGAGGATTATCCATATTCTTCAAAATGACAAACAAAATAAATATGATAGTAAACATTATTATCAAAGGATAACTTTTATTTATGTACAACTATTACATAACCATACTATCTACTACAAACAATAAAAATTAAAATATTTACATCTTTACAGATTCATCACCGATCACATGACTTATTTCTCCTTCTGGGAGTGCAAAGTAATCAGCTACATCCAAATGTATGAAGTCTAAATTATCTTCAGAAATAAAATTTACTTCAACATTTTTCTCAGTCTTCTTCAGGAAGGCTTGATACAGCTCAACCAGGTGCTTTGGCGTACGACATGTACGTGACCAGTGCTCTTTTCCTCCACATATATAGCATGCATTTTCTGCGTTTGCTGCTTGC